ATACATACATACAAACATACATACATACAAACATAGAAATAAATAAACATACATACATACATATTTGCCAACACACATACATACACACATACATGCGTGAATACATAAAACCGTAATAACATTGGTTATCTGATGTTTGACTTTTTTGTGTAATTTTTTCTGATTTGGTTTTAACATACATGCATACGTACATACATACAAACATACATACAAACATACATACAAACATACATACAAAAATACATACATACATTATTAGTACATTCTTTGTCAACTCTAGATTGGAATATTGTAACAGTCTTCCCAATATGGTATAGCTGATAAAGTGTTGTCTAAACTTCAGATGGTTCAGAATCAGGCTGCTAGAATGATATGCCGCAAATTAAATTTTGACCGTGCACCACCAATCCTAAAGGAGTTGCATTGGCTGCGTGTTGAACAAAGAATCATGTTCAAGTTGGGTGTAATGGTATTTAAAAGTTTGAATGGTCTGGCTTCGAAATATTTAAAAGATAAATGTATTAGAGTTTCATCTATGTCATCATATCTCACATAGGCGTCTAAAAAGGTCTGCTGATTCAAACAGTCTGTATGTTAAAGTTTGGAATCTGAAAACAGCAGATAGAGATTTTGCAGTTGCTGGGATTGTTTTTTGGAACAGCCTTCCTATCGAACTACGTCTATCTCGGTTATCATTAGCTGAGTTTAGGAATCGTCTAAAGACACACCTATTTTGTAACTCCTAGTGATCATGATCCTAGATGATGGCTTGGCTTTCGACATGCTATTCCTTAGCTATTAACAATTTCTACGAGCCAAGCGCTGATGTGAAGTATTTATAATTGGCGCTATATAAATTCAAAATTTGATTTGATTTGATACATACACGCATGCATGCATACATACAAACAAACAGACATACAAACATACATACATATGCACATACAAACAAACATACAAAAAGGTTGCGAATACTTCCCGTGCAAAAACAAAGGAACCTGTGTTCAGTTGGCAGGCGGTGAATATTCATGCAAGTGTCCGAATGCCTTTGGTGGAAAAAATTGTGAACTAGGTATGTTTGTTTGTTTGTATGTTTGTTTGTTTGTTTGTTTGTATGTATCTATGAATGTATGTATGTATGTATGTTTGTTTGTTTGTATGTATGTATGTATCTATGTTTGTTTGCTTGTATGTTTGTAAGTTTTTCTCAAAAAATTTTCTACGTTAAACAAATAATAACATGTCAGCGCATTAAAATTAAGATGTAGCATAATAATAACAATAATATTGAAATAATAATAATAATAACAGTAATAATAATAACGATAAAAAATTGTAATCCGATAATAAAAAAGTTGAAACAGATT